AATTAGACATTAAGAGATGACTCTTCATAGTCTATCACTCAGAGACTGACAGAGCTACAGAGTGAATGAATCAGACTCTGAAAACCTACCTACACAAGTACATTAACTTTCAACAGGATGACTGGTATGAATGACTTTCTCTAGCAGAGCTGATCATCAATAATAGAGATGCTGCCTCAATGAGTGTAAGCTCATTCTTTTTAATACATCTTTTCCACATCTCCTCCATTGATATAGCTGATGCACCTCTCATTGAAACACTACATAATCCCATTGAGTTTGCAGATGATTATATGAGAAAGGCTTGTGAAGTGTTGAAGTGAGCTTAAGTAAAAATGACAGATGCTCAGCAATCTCAATAGAAATATATGAATAAATGAAAAGACCCAGCTTCAAGCTTTCAACCTGGAGATAAGGTCTGATTGAGCTTAGAGAACATAAGAACTAATCATCTGTGCAAGAAGCTGGATATGAAATACAATCAATATACTGTGCTAGAAAAGATAGAATTTTATACTTATCAACTGAACATCTCATTCAGCATTCACAATGTCTTTAATGTAAAGCTTCTACATGCTGTGACAATGAATTCCCTGCTTAGTCAGAGGCAAACTGACTGACAGTCACCTGCTATAGAGACTGTGAAAGGACCTGAGTTTGAGATTGAGAAAATTCAGAATGAATGAATCTATCAGAGGAAAAAGCAATATCTTGTTAAATAAGTAGATTGGGCTGAGTCTACATGAAATGATGCAAGTCTCCTACAAGAAGTGAAGGCCTTGAACACTTGGGAGGCCTCTCAGCAGGCAAAATTAGATGTAAAGAGGGCTTTAAATAGTTGTAAAGGCCTGCAACAAAGAGGAAGAAGAGAGATATTATAAGGAATTGAACCTCTAGATTTGCTCTGGCTGACTGACTCAGCCTAGCCATCATTTGCACATGTACATGTGATCATGCTATGTGAGCTTGCTTAAGCTTATGTTCTCATCTCATTCTTTTCTCCCCTTTCCCAAGCAATTCGTCCTTGTTATGTAGGAGGACTAGCCTCTAGTTCTTAGAGCTTAACCCTCTATAGAAATCAAGATAAGAAACAAAGAAGTAGAATTATTGAAATCAAGACATGAGAAAGTACAATAGAGAGAACAGCACTGAGAGTTGATAGATGAACTTTTATATTTTAAAGAGTGTTTAGTGATATCAATTAAGGAAGATTCTACTCTCTGAGTATATTCTCTAAAAGAGATTCATAAGCAGTCATTTATAGCACATCCTGGGAAAGAAAAGCTATACTTACTAGTGAAGGTAAAATACTACTGAAATGACTAAATCAAAGATATTGATCAGTATATAAACAATTATCTAGTGTGTCAAAGAATGAAGATCTTTTGAGATAAAACTTCAAAACTGTTAAAGCTACTATCAATCTCTAGCAGAGTTTGACAGCACATATCAATGGACTTCATGAATGACTCTATGACAAAAAGAGATCATAATACAATATTGATAATTATCTATTAACTGAGTAAGAAATCTATATCAATTTCTATCACAAGAAAGGTAAATGTCAAAGAGTTAGTGAGACTGTTCTTTAAGTACTACTATGAATATTATAAAGTATCAGATTCAATTGTGTCAGACTGTGAGTCATAATTTATCTCAGATCTCTGAATTGAGTTCATCAGATAATTGAGAGTTAAGCTAAAGCTTTCATCAGCTCATTATACACAAACAGATGATCAGACTGAGATTGTGAATCAATACCTGACAATCAAGCTCTATTCATATGTAAATTACTATCAGGACAACTGAGATGAGTGGCTATCAATAATGAACCATATAACTAAAGCTCTGATAAATGAATTAACTGAGATAATAATCTTTCTAACAGCTTATGAATATAAATCTTAAATGTTTTTTGATTAGAAGCTACTGCCTAAAATACTATCTAAAGAAAAGAAGCTTAAATGAAAAGATGTCAAGCAGCATGTTATTTAAATAAAGAAAACCTGAAAGCTAGCAGTAGATAATATGAAAAAAACACAAGAAATCATAAAATTACAGATCAACAAGCATCATCATGAGTCAAACTTTGAGATAGAAAATAAAGTCTTCTTGTCACTAAAGAACTATAAAATTCAACATCTCAGCAAAAAACTCACAGAGTAAAATAAAGACTTCTTTAAAATTATTGAGAGAGTAGACAACAGCTACAGACTAAAACTATCAAACAGCATGAAAATTCACTTAATATTCTCTTTTGATAAGCTACAGAAGACTGTAAATGACTCTCTATCAGAACAGTTAAATGAGATATTAGAACTAGTTAAGATATAAGAAGAAAATGAGTGAGAAGTTAAGGACATTTTAGCAAGCTGTATCTCTCATCAAAAGCTTCAATACTGAATAAAATAACTAGAATTTAATAAAAATTTAACATGGTATTTAGCATAAAATCTAAAAAAATCATCACATTTAATTTGATAATTTTATGCTGCAAATTCAACAAAAGTAAATTCTCTGAACTGATTAAATAAATAACTGAAGATTTGAAAAAAGAATAACTATCTAGCAGATAAAATGAATGATAATCTACTGATATGAGAACATGTCTAGACTTCAAGAAGAAGTAATGTGATGATATAAAACAGACTTATATTCAATCTTCTCAACAGCATAATCATCATAGATTGAGATGATCAGTCATTATACAGGCTGAAATAATCAGTCATCATATAGATCAAAGTGATCAGTAAATAATAATTGCTTAAACAATAGCAAATAACTCTACAATTATCCTATGTATGAATAACACATAAATATGACAATCACTTGGCAATGGTATTAGAGAAAAATAATTATATAAACAGAGCTTTTCCTGAACTCATCTTTTAGAAATCATCTTAGTATTTACTCAGATAGCTTATTTAGTTGACAATTGAATATCAGTTCATCTGCATCTAGCTGAAATTATAACATAAAATAAGTTTATTTTTTTTATCTTATAAATTTAATCTTATTTTATTAATAAATTATTTAAATAAAAAGTTTAATATTATTTATAACTTAATATTATCAATAAAATTATAAAAATTAAATAAATATATATAAAACTTAATTATATAATATAAAATTATATTTTTTAAAATTTATAATATTTTTAAATATAAATTTATTTTAATTTACTATTAAAAAATTTTTTATAGATAATTTTTAATTAATAATTATATAATAATATTAAAAATATTTAAATTATAGTTAATTATAATTAAAATAATTTATTTAAATCTTTTTATTTTTTATTTTTTGTTTATTATTTTTAAAAAATTATTAAAATTATATTTAAATTTATTTATTATTTTTATTTATATTTTTAATAATATATTATTTTATTATAATATATTATATAAATATTAAATAAAATATAATATTGATAATATTTAAATTATTTATTAAAATTAAATATATTTCTATTAGTATAATATATATTTATTAAATTATATAAAGCTTTAAATAAATAATAGAAATATAATTAATTTTTTTAAAAAAAAAATTTAATTAAATTATTATACTCTATTAAAATCTACTATTATTTTTTCTAATTTAGTTGAAAAGGCTGAGATGAAGCTATATATATAAACTTTCTAATAAGGCAAAGAGATTTAAAAACCTTCTAGCAAAGCATGCAATCATTGATTTTGTGGAGGAGATTGAATTAATGGAGGCAATCTGATTAGCAGGAGATGCAACAGAAATACACAAATCAGCAGATCCTTGTATGTTTTGCCTTGATTTTACAGTGCTGATTTGTACAGATGCCGTTCCTATTCATGAAACCAGTGTTTGATTGTTGTAATCAACTCTTTTGAAGCCTTCAAGATGAAGCTAGCAAGGTGTAGTTGGAGGAGCTGAGTCCGTGCCGCCGGCAGGGTGGTTTGAGGGGTTGGTTAGCGGATAACTCTCACCCGCACCATATATAGCTAAGATTTCGGCTAGCTGGTTCAAAACACACACAAAACACAATTGCCCTCAATGTGCACTGCATGAAACTAAACAAATCACTGTTCGACTATTAGTTGGTAGTTATTTAGCCAGTTCGTTAGTTAACTAATTAGACCACACACATTACTAATACTTCTCTATATGTAGTTAACCAATTGACTATTCAACCTTCGCCCTCAACACCAGGGTTAGGGGTCCGTAAAGGGCTAGGATTAGAGGGGTTAATCTGAGAAAAATGGGTGATAAAACATACTCCCATCAAGAGCATATGGGCGATTTTAGAACACTGTGAAAAAAGAAAGAAAAAGAAAAAGAAAAAAGGGAACGGGAGATACCATCTCAGAGTTGATCATGGCACATTTCAGGTTATGTCAGTTCCGACTGCCGCCGGCGGTGGGTTTGTCTTGGGCTAACGAGCTGCCCCGAAAACCCCGAATAGTGACGTAGCTCCCAGTTACCATAGATTAGTTAACGCAGCAGCCGCGTCACCGACTGCGTTCCAACTCCTGGTTCCCACAACAACCATGGCCCAGCAGCGGCGGTATCAGGTTTGCCCGAGTCCCCAATTCTTAAAGTCGAGCAATACCCGCCATGGGCTATCATATTATTGCATCCCCATCTCTCTCTTAGACACGGCGATGCTACGTTGATCCCATGCAATTTCCCACCACCACCACCCACCTCCCAACCTCTCAAACCGTACCTCTCTTGCCACGACCCCTTCCCCGGGTTTTCATTCCATTCACCTCGTAATCGAAAGAACGGAAGAACTTAGCGGGATTCTTGATATTCCTGAAGGTTCGCGGCCATTGGTTTGTAGCTTAGTCTTAGACTTTGCTGTAGCTCCCAAGCTTTAGGTGTCAGAACGGCAACGCTTCGGTAGGCTCAATGTCTTTTTTCGCATTCATTTCTAGAGCTGGGGAGTCCGTCATGAACCAGAAAAATTTAACTAAGATACACCCAACTAGTCTTTCCTGCCATTATTCGCCGTATCTCGCACCATGGCTTCTCAGGATGGCGTTCCCCGGAGCGGGCAAAATGATAGTGACATGGATGCTTCGAATGCCAAATCGTCGGTAGCTGCGGCGACGAGTTCAAGAGCTACTAGTGAAAGCCACCTTCCGACCAATGCTGGAGACAACACCGCCCGTCTTATGTCCGACTTGCAGACTGGAAATCTAGAAAAGCGTCCAGAGAACCCGACAGAGGCTGCCATGGGCGTAAAATCCGGAGCGGATCTCCTGCGTCGTTTGAGCCTTGTATATTCTTCAAAACCTTCAGCCCCTTCGATTGATCCCCAAGCAGCACATCCAGGTCTCCGTTTGACGGGAAGAATCATTAGTGCAGCTTTTTGCATTCCGTACAAGCTCGTAATTCACCCTGGTGAAGATTGGGTATGGGCTCCGCAACTCCGAATGCGAACGCCTCATGTTATCCGTCGACGTTCACTCTGGCTTACTGTTTTTAATTTAGGAACTCAACCACCGTCCAGGCACTTCTGCCTTGTTTGATTCATTTTCCTTCCTTGCGTCTCCCAACACCCAATGGGATCACACTTTGGTGGGTTGGACTGGTGAGATCGAACGAATTCAACAAACTGATACATCACGATCAAATACCCCTGGCCAGCCACTACCCGCTCAAACCGTCTCTCCGCCACAGAGCAAAGCTTCGGCACCTGTCCCAATCGACCCTTCCGAGAAGCCAAGTTACATCGTTCAGGATAGAGTATGTGTATCAGAGCAGGATCGGATTCGCCTTGAGGAACAGCTAAACAACAGCAAGTTCGGAAAGGTGCTTCCGATCTGGCTAACGGATGAACAAGATTCTCCGCATGAACCAATGCATCTCAAGGACCAGGGGAGATGGCGGCGATATGCTGAAAGAGAACTTTACCCTGTTCTCCATTATAAACAACATGGCCCCATTGATGGCTGGTCTGAACAGAAATGGTGGACGGACTATGTAAGACTCAACAAGCGATTCGCTGACCGCATTTTGGAGACGTACACTCCTGGTGATATCATTTGGATTCATGACTATCATCTGTTCCTTCTCCCGAGTATTCTGCGCCAAATGTTTCCGAACATCTATATCGGTTTCTACCTCCATACACCCTTTCCAAGCAGCGAATTCATGAGATGCCTTTCGAAAAGGAAAAACATCCTGACCGGCGTTCTTGGGGCAAACATGATAGGTTTTCAAACCTTTTCCTATTCTCGACATTTTGCTTCCTGCTGCACGAGAATATTAGGCTTTGATTCAAATTTCGCAGGAATTGATGCACATGGTGCCCATGTTGCGGTTGATGTTTTCCCTATTGGAATTGACGTGGATGTTGTACGAAAGCAAGCCTACGGCGAACCACATATTGCAGAAATCGTCACCAATATCAAAAAGCAATACCAGGGAAGAAGAATTATTATCGGAAGAGACAGACTGGATTCCGTGCGGGGAGTGACGCAAAAGCTGATGGCATTTGAAACGTTTCTTGAGCGATACCCTCAGTGGCACAACAGGGTAGTTTTGATCCAAGTAACAAGCCCGACAAGTGTAGAGGAGGAAAAGGAGGAATCTGCAGCAAAAATCTCAAGCCAAATGTCGCATCTTGTCTCTTCAATCAACGGTCGATTCGGATCGCTTGGCTTCTCGCCTGTTCAACATTACTCTCAGTATCTTTGCCCGCAAGAATATTTTGGCCTTTTACGAGCCGCAGATATCGGCCTTATCACTAGTGTTCGTGATGGCATGAACACAACCAGCCTCGAGTATGTTGTTTGTCAGCACGAAAATCACGGCCCATTAATCCTTTCGGAATTCTCAGGTACGGCAGGTAGCCTAAGTAGCGCCATTCACATCAACCCCTGGGATCTAGGGGGTGTGGCTGATGCTATCAACCAAGCACTTCTGATGACTCCTGAGGAACGGGAAGCTCAGCACAAACAGCTTTATAAGCACGTTACGACTCACACAGTAACCACATGGTCCAACCAATATCTTAAACGGCTCCTAACTAACCTTTCCTCCTTCGACCAATCCATTGCAACTCCGGCCCTCGACAAAGCTAAAATACTCTCACAATATCGAAAATCGCGGCGACGGTTGTTTATGTTCGACTACGATGGCACCCTGACTCCTATAGTGAAGGATCCACAAGCTGCAATCCCATCTGACCGTGTACTCCGAACGATCAAAACACTTGCCGCGGATCCCAAGAACTCCGTCTGGATCATTAGCGGTCGGGACCAGGCATTCCTTGACGAGTGGATGGGTCACATATCTGAACTGGGCCTGAGTGCTGAACATGGATGCTTCATCCGCCAACCCGGAAGCGATGATTGGGAAAACCTAACAGAAAAATCTGATATGGGCTGGCAGAATGAAGTGTTCGACATTTTCCAACATTACACCGAGCGCACACAAGGGTCGTTTATTGAACGCAAACGGGTCGCTTTAACTTGGCACTTTCGCAGGGCTGATCCAGAATACGGCGCTTTTCAGGCCAGAGAGTGCAGGCTGCATCTTGAAAATACGGTGGTGAAAAGATGGCCAGTCGAGGTCTTGTCTGGCAAGGCGAATCTGGAAGTCCGGCCGACATTTGTCAATAAGGGGTCCATTACCACGCGTCTGGTGAATGAGTTTAAATACAAACTGGGCCAGGACCCAGATTTTGTTCTATGTTTAGGTGATGATTTCACTGATGAAGGTTCGTAGATATCTTTCTATGTACGCTACTGGCAACCCTGGGCGAAATTACTATAATATCGTTACCATACTAATCCATATTATCTAACAGACATGTTTCGCGCGCTCATCAGCAGCAACCTTCCGCGAGAACGGGTCTTTTCCGTTACTGTTGGTGCCAGCTCGAAACAGACACTTGCGACCTGGCATCTGCTGGAGCCAGCAGATGTCATTAGTACGATCGCCCTCTTAAATAGCAAAGCAACTTCCAGTGACATGGTCCGACAGTGAGGCCGTACGGCGAGCGGAAGCTGTTAATCATTAGTGAAAGCACTTAGTTTTAAACACCAGGGTCTCTCTCCATCACTCTACCACCCAAAACACCACCACGACCTCCTCCTCCTCCTCCTCTTCCTCATCAATCTTTTCTTTGCTTTTGTTCTTCTCTACTGCATTGTATCATTAATTTGGTATTTGGGTAGTGTTTAGTCCGTTTTTCCTCCAAGGCAGCCGTCAACATGACATGGAGGAACATAAGTACAACCTTCCTACGTAAAATCTACGGTCAGGGGAGATTCAGGGAGATATTCGGGAGATAGGAGGCGTGGGAGTGGTATGTTGGCCTATTTTTATAGAGTCTCAATACATCGTTTTAGACGTGTACGCTACCCTTTTCCAACAATACTCCATACCCTAGGCAATATTAGATAATGAGCACTTCAGATATCTAACATCAAGTTAGAGATGTATGATTCCAGTCCTCCATTCCCAAGCCGCCCTTGGGCCCCTATTTAGAGCTTCAACCTCAAAAACACCGTCCCCTCAATTGCCTTCTCATAATACTTCTCAACCACACCAAACCCCATCCCACTAAACATATTAATCGCCTCTCTCATATCAGGCAACGTATCAAGCATCACCTCTTCATACCCGATCTCCCGCGCGATGTCCAATATAACTTTCACCAGCGCCTTTCCCACCCCCCACCCCTGTGCTGATGGCGTGACATATAACCGCTTCAGTTCACAATATTTGGGTTTCGCATAACTACCACTAGCCCCAGCATCACCATCATTGCCACTGCTGTCGAGTTTGGGCTGTGATGGAGATGCAGGAAGGGCGTCCAATTGTCCATTCAGGCAGAGTGGATGGAGAGCTATGCAGCCAAGTGGTTGTGCCTGTGCCTGTGACTGTGGGGGTTTTTGGTTATGGGCTTTTAGCAGTGGCTCAGTCTGCAGGGCTATGAGTCTGGTGGCGCATAACTGCCGGGCATACCGCGCCATTTCGGACTCGAAGTCTTGCTAGGAGAGATCGAGTCCTGACCCTTTCATGTAGGTTTTCATTAGGGATATGGCGGTTGAGAGATCTTCCGGGGTGCAGACCGGGCGAATGGTAAACATTGTGAGACTCGCGAGGTGTTGATATGTTCTTCTGGGGGTTCTCGAGACTTACGGTGGTTTATTTTATGGGTCTGGGGTCCGAGAGGAGAAGAAAATATATATATTCTTGAGGAGTTTGGGAGTGACTGAAGAGCCTTTTTAAAAACGGGTTCCAAGTGTTTGAATAGAAATGAAGTATCGCTATTCTCATGTCCTGGTTCATGCGATCATATTCGTAGTTTTGACGCAGCGATGGGTGAGTAACTAACCAACTGGTTAATTGTATGAAGCATTCAACTTGCGAACATCAAGAGCAGATCGGAAACGTGAAAAATCCCCAGTGAATAATGCATATATTGGAGTTAAAAAGACTTTTCATTTTCGGACTGGTTTCCAGTTCAATTCGCACATATCTGTTTCCATTCTGCCATCGCCACAGCTCATCTCCCATTAACTATCACCTCCACTGCACATCAAAGCAATTAAGTTAAAAGTCCTCTACACGAACGGGCTCATGTGGTATTAAGGACAACGGAGATAAGAGAACCGCTTGCATGGGCTACAAGCTAAACATTATAATAGTTACTCCCTAGCTACGACAATCGCGCTTATAAAACCGTTCGAAATACTTCAACGCCGGGGAGATCTTCTACGGCTGGATCTCCTATGGGGTTGTTGAAATCGTGTTAACATTCAACAACGCTCAACTCCAGCTCCAGCACTTGCGGTGAGTTTAACATATTGGTATCATCATCTTTAGGGTTTGCTCCGTGAACCATCGATGCATCCTTCATGTTATTATTAAGTTTGCTAACGGAAGAGAAGGGGAAATAATCTTTGAAAATACTCTCATTCTTCGTTGTAACTATTTCAGCTCCATTTCCCTGGAGCCACTTTCAACAAACAACATCGAGGCGAGATTGGCGCACATCCGTGGCATGATGCATCGAGCCAATAGCTAATAGTTAACTAATGAGCTGGATCGCCGACTTGACCAGGTTCCGCTATTTATTTAGCTCAGCAAGAGCAAGCCATCTCCCCAGATAGCCTAACGTTAACGTGGTAGCTGCAGGTTTTCCCAACCCCGTCTCCGTGAGCGTAGAGAGTTCAGGCCGATATATCAAGGGAATTACATAACTAGTTAACTGACGTTCACTGACTGATAATTATCCCTCTGAACCCCAGAATTGCTTTCATTTCAGTGAAGAATATCTCTATTTTCGGTGATCTATCTCCCAACATTGTCAAGCTACGCGGTAATAAAGCAGGCAAAAGCAATGTCGACAGACAAAGTTGGCAATCGTAAGGATGGCTCATCATATACACAAATTGCCTGTATCGGTAGTGGGCTCTCAGGTGTAGCGTTGGGCGCAACGCTGAAGAGATGGTACAACTTCGATGACATCCGATTCTTTGACCGTAATGCCGGCAGTGGAGGGACGTGGTGGGCAAATGGATATCCCGGTAACCTGGAGTCCAAGTCCAAAATGATGATCTCTGGCTCAGTCTGATCAGAAAAGGCTGATTGCTCGCACAGGCTGCGCATGTGATATCCCCAGTGCCCTTTACAGCTTCTCGTTTCATTTAAACCCCAATTGGACCCAGACAATGCCCCCAAGCGAAGAAATCAAAGCATACAATGAGAGCGTCCTTGAGAAATATTCCCTGGGGGAAAAAATGGTCTTCTCGACCGAGGTCACCCACTGCGAATGGAATGAGGAGACGAGCCTTTGGACAATGCATCTCCAAAACCTCCAAACGGGAGAAAAGTATACTCATAAATGTCAGATACTATTCAACGCTGGAGGCCTTCTTTCTGTGCCTCGCAAATGCGATATCCCTGGCAGCGAGAAATTCAATGGTCATATCTTTCACTCAGCACAGTGGGATGCCTTTGTGAGTTTGAAGGACAAGAATGTAATCGTTATCGGGAATGGCTGTGAGTATACCATGATTACAATTCAAATTCCCCGGTAGCTAATATACGTCCCTAGGCACTGGAGCTCAAATAGTTCCTGCAATTTTGCCTGAGGTGAAGCACCTCACTCACATTATCAGGTCAAAACATTGGATATATCCAGCTGCGAATCCCCCTTATCCTCCATTTCTTAGGTGGATATTCCAGAATATTCCCCTTGCCTTGCGGCTACACAGAATTCATCTCTTTCTATTAATCGAGCGCAGTTTGACTTTATTTAAAATGTCCAAGAAAGGAACCTTGATGCGGCAAGAAAGACAGGTGAAGTCAGAAAGGTTCATGCGCAAACACGCACCAGCAAAATACCACGATCTTCTCATTCCTGACTTCGATTTCGGTTGCAAGGTTCGTACGATGAATTAAATACTCCGTGTCCCATCCTTTCATGTAAAACCCAGACACTAACGCTACCATCCATTTTGCTCCAGCGCCGAATTTTCGACGTCGGTGGATATCTAAAATCCTTAAACGCAGAAAACATCACATTAACCGATGAAAAGCCATTAGAAATTCTCCCCGATGGCATAAGGACTAAAAATGGCGTCATAAAAGCTGACGTTATTGTGCTAGCTACTGGTTTTGAGACCAAATTCCTGCACTCCATGGATGTCATTGGGAGAGATGGGCAGAGTGTCAGGGAACGCTGGGACAAATACCCGGGCCCAACGGCTTACAACAGTTCCGTGTTGAGTGGTTTCCCCAACTTTTTCATGTTGTTAGGCCCTAATTCGGCAACGGGATACACATCTGCTCTCATTGCGTCGGAGAAGTGAGTAATCGGTATTTTCGATATCGACAGATTTCATAAAACAATATATTCTCCATCGAAACCGAGAAATGGGGCGACCAGAGTAGCTGGCTGATATGTTAAATTCATTCATAGTACAATAAATTACGCTTTGCGTATCCTGAAACCAATTCTCACGGGAAAAGCCACATCGGTCGATATTAAGCAGCAGGCGGAGAAATCGTACGCTGACAAAGTACAGGCTGCTCTGAAGGAGACTGTTTTCAATGCCGGAGGTTGCCAGTCGGTATGTATCCTGGGTTTCCTTTCCCCTCCCCCCCCGACCCCCCGCCTCATAATGAATGTTTCTTTGTGCCTCTCCCAGTCAACTAGGTTCCACGGTTACTAATAATACTCACCCATAACCCAGTGGTATATCCAAAAAAGCAAGTGGAATGCAACAATATATCCCTGGTCACAGGCGTATTTTTGGTATAGGAGTCTCTTCCCCACCTGGTCTGATTGGAACATAGAGGTACGATTGGCACCCTACCAAAACGCAGAAGTAATAAGAAACTAATGTCCGTCGGGCTCAACAGTGGAAATCAAGGCAGCCCTCCCGGAGGAAAGGAAAAACTATAGCAATTTTAATCACATTGATAGCTGTAGCTTTGAATGGGTTCTGGATATGGAATTCATATGTGGATATAGCTTTGCTGCCATTTAAGTAAGATTGGGAGTATGCATTTGCATGATGACTTGGTCTTCCATTTTTTCTTGTTCATGAGCACCATTGTGATATCTCTGTTTTGTTCGAACTTTATTTGAAAAGAGGTCCCGATCCAAATCTCATATTAGTTAACGTAATCCACCACCCAACGCCTGTTTACACCCAACGCCCGCCATTTCGCCATCACTATGATGAAATATTTTCAATGTTATTTCAACAACGCAATTAGATTTTAAGATGATATATTATAGGATGAAAATATATATAGAAAATTACATATAAAAATATATAGCTAATTCAGTAAATGTTTGTTTGATTTAATAACTCATCTGGAATGTGAAATCTTGGGTGGAGACAGATTCAATGAGCAAGCAGTCATTAAATCAGTAAAGATTGCAATATTGTCATATCCCTCTGGCAGTGGATCTGTGGGCACTCTGACAGGGCTCTGAAAACATGATTTAGTCACTCTTTGCAAAATTGAGGGTCTACTTTCCTGATTAGAAAGGTGATTTTTGAATTCTTCAATCATCTTTTTATTCAATTATAATTGTAGCTGTACAGCAGCTTGTTCTTCCTTTTCTTTTTGCTCCTGAGTCTTTTTCTCATCTCTAAGCTTCTTGTCAATCTGCCATTGAGCAGCTCTTGCAGTCTTATTCATTTTCTTTTGCTATTTTGTGACCTGGTGAGCTGTCTCTCACTTCATCCTCTGCTGAATGATATCTGTCTTCTTCTGTTTCTTAAGAATAGTGTGTTGCAGCTTTGCATCCTCCTTATAAGCTTGCTTATCCTTTTTGGCAACCTCTGAGGCTGTCAAATTCTCACAGATGCTCTGCATCTTTGCTGGTAAGAAGAACTGTATTAATGATGAATTCAAGAAATCTAACAATCTTATTGCTCTGTCACACTTGCAACATCTTCTCTCTTGATTAAGAGCTTTTTGAAGCTGCTGATTCTCTATTAAAAGAATCTCTTTATCAAGAGTAAGATTTTCCCCTGCATGAATCACCTGGTTGACATCATTAGATATTTGATACTATTGTTGCTTAACTTGCTTTATCAATTTCCATAAACTAACAATAGAAGTAGATATTCTTGATTGATATATTGTGTCATGAGAGGTGCAAAATCATATTTAAAGTTTTTTAAGAATGTATTCTGAATTGAATGAATGTAGACCAGTAGCAGCAAATGCAGCTTCAATATTTGAAGATATAATTATCTTCTTCCACATAGTATCAAAAAGCTGCAAAAAAGACCTCTTTATAGTGTGTATGAATTCCATTCCAGTTCTCATTCATTCATTCAGTTGTTTGAAATATGATTTACTCAATGATTTAAATATCTCAACATCTAGTAGCTGTAATTAGTATGTAAAATGAGGAGAAAAGACAATGAGTAGAATTTAATTCTGATTTGTATAATTGATGAATGTCATATTAATATGAAATGAGTGATCATTCAATATAAGAAGTCTATATCTGCAATCTGTCTTCTCTTTTGTAAGAGGTTCAAAGATCTTCTTTAATTATATTAACTCATATTCATTATTACTTCACTCATTTTCTGAAGCAGTGAAGTAGATCTGATTCTTTTCACTATCAAAATCTTCAAGTCAAGTATCTTGCATATCTCTTGATTCTTCTTGATATACAGTAGCAAGTGAGAGTAAAGTTCTATCTATATAAATTGAGACAAGTAATGTTATGAATTCTCAACTGTCATCCTGGCTGACACTTATCATATGATTTGATTTGAGTGAATTAATTGATACAATACATTTAAGGATGTGAATGAATTCTAATAGAAATCCTTTCTCATTAAAGTTGTAGATATTTGCAAGTTCAAAGTTGTATTTTATGATTTTTACCTGCAGCTGAAAAATTAAAATAAATTAACAAGATGAGAATTAAAAAAGCAGTATAAGAAAAAAATCTATTACAAGATCAAAATAATGCTTGAAGTATGCAGAATTGTCTGCAATCTTGTGTTTTTGATCAATATTTCACAGGTAGAGTAACTTGATCACATCCTAGTGACACTTGCAGAACTGAATCACTCAGTTGACTCCAATAGATGCTTTTAGAATCTCAACAATGAGATTATGAAGGATTTGGGATGTACAAGGGAAACCACAATCTGCCAATCAATTGATATGAAAAAGGAGCTGTTTTTCTTGTGAATCAGTGAGAGCTTTGCAGTGGATAGAGCTTGCTTCCTTTCTTGACATTTGAATGCCTCTATAACTCCTTGACAATGTATATCAGCTGATTCCATATTTTTTAGTGGTCTCAGTGTAATTAGGCATTAATTGCGCGTTCAAATCATCAATCGCGGCTTGTATAACTGCTTCATGGTGCATGTTGTGGGTGGTTAAAGATGAATGAAAAATGAAGATTTGAGCGGGCGTTGGGTGTAAACGGGCGTTGGGTGGTTGATTACGTTATATATGTACTTAGTTGAGTTCTTGACACTAGTAATAACAGGCAGAAAAATACATTCGAACTGAAACAAAGGCATACCATCATCCACTTCTCCCGTTCCTTCTCCTGCATATCAATACACCTTAGAGCTCGCTTTAATCATTCGTATGAAATAAAAGCAGTCAAGTTGCGCCACGATATAGCTGAAAATAAAATACCTACATACGGTACATATTAAATATCAGAGGTGCAGATATACACCCCATCTCCAACTTCAGTATTTGGATACTGCATTATCCAAGATCATTTCGCAGACACAACATCCCATTTAAGATTTGAGTTATATACAATAACGTGTCCCCCGTGTTCGCAAAATTGGCTTAGGGACGTCAATACGGTAAAACACAGCGTTGAATCAGACAATAGACCAGCCGTACAACACCTTGCTCTCGAGGTTCACGCGATGTGTTCTTGCATAACTACCATCAACCGTGCTGTGTCCAGTTGAGGATTTTGCGCTCCAGTTTTCGCAAAGCATAATCCGGGCCGCATCCGGAGGTCAATGTCCAAAAGTATCGTGAGAGATGTGCTGAAATCAGTCCGCTGACCCTTGTTCAATATTTCCTTGATGATGGCTAAGTTGTCGGATTTGACTTGGTATACAAAAACGAGCTTGCCGCCCAAGGCACGTCGCGAAGTTCACCCGGGAAGAAACCCGCAATTTCTTTGATTGAAAGCAACGTGGGAAATATTTTCCCTGGATTGCAGATGAAATCAGCATACCGACTTCCCGTATAGTCCGAACAAATGATGGAACGGTGCATATCGACAATGCGAATAGATAAAAAATCGTGTGGAAGGTTGGTAAAATTTAGGGCAAGAAAACAGCCCAGATAAGCCCTTCTGCACAACCCCCATATTGCTTCAATTGTTGCGATATGCTGAATTGTGGTATGAACGCAATTTGCAAAGGGCGTCTCTCTCTATCCATGTAGTTACGATCACTCCCAGCTCAAGGATAAAAATTTCCCATCGGCTTTGGGCAGTCAGTTATAACTACGTAGAAAAAGAGGATCATGTGGAAACATTGCGACTGCCCAAGTCTTCTCAGGGTGAGGTCGTGGAACTTCTTACATTAGAGACCGATCTCAACCGTCTGACTTCACATCAAACTTGTGTTTATGGAGTACGGAATGGATAGTGCCAGTTCCGCAAGATAACTACCTGCTTAAACATCTCTCAGCTATACTCGTTGCAAAATTGTCGAAAGAGTCTCGAACAACCCCGTTTTGTCCAACAGTTGCCCGAGAAAATACGGAGCACCGCCAATTTCGATCCTACACGCAGGCCTCGTTTCCCTTTGAATGTTAATAATACATACCATACCATATGTTGCAAGGCAACTTGTCAGGCATTACTATGCAGATTGCACATATGCAACGTAAAGTATATCGTTCATGGATGCTGTTATCTGAGCACCGCGAGTGCGAGCCCCCATGCATCCCGGTGTTGAACCACTCGTTTGACCTCTTGAAACTCACAGGGGAAAATTATTCTTGGCTTTCAAAAAGCATAGACAACGGGATTGTAACCGCTTGTTTTCTCATGATGATATTCGACCCATTTTGTAGAGTATCCCGGCTGCTCATCTTTGATGAAACAGCGAGAACCGCGATTCAACGGATGGATCTTTCAGCATGCGCGAAATTGAACACGGGCCATGCATGGATCCCGCTGCAGAAACTACCAGTTCAGCTGAAGGTCACCCTAACATTTAACGAACCGCACAATTTTTTAATCTTAAGTTGAACTAAATAACCCTTCATGATCAGCGGTAGAGGAGGTGAGTATATTATCGCGAGTCGTCGATGCATTCGCCAACAAACCTCTTCAGTGTTTTCCATCTTCAGTTTCCAACACTTGAATTTGGTGTGTCCAAGAAAGGCCGAAACTATCCTGGAGTAATACAGTCCACCAGCAGATTCAACATTCGGATCCGAGACTGTAACAAGGGCTCAATTGGATGATTCAGAATACTTCTGACGGTACTATGCCCGACATACACTTATATTGAAGTCGATGTTGTTTTTCCGGGGCCTATAGGTTGCAATGCCATCCACTGGACTCGATTTACGGAACCACAAACTTAAGTTGACTCATCGGTCCGCTAGACATGCCGATTCAACCGAGAAATGCGTCTAACTGCATATTAAGTTTAGCGCAAGGTCTCGTCGCTTTTTCTTTACCACGCCCTTCGTCTGACAACGAACATTGATACGCCTTACCAAGGAACCATACATCCTGAGTGTGAAGAGACGTAGTGGCCCATGGGGTACCTGGTTATATCCAATGAGGTGGAGTAATTGCTAACTCGGAAACTACGAGAATGAAAATTATTTCCTCTCGGGTCTATCTGGGTATCTATCATAAAGACCTCACATAACATTATTATCTAGATCCACCAAAACAATTTGCCCTAAGTCCCTGAGTTAGTTCGATAGATGCACGGCTAACCTTAAACTAAACAAGTTTCTTTCCTTTTCCTGCCGACAATTTCATAGCGATAGACTCAGCGAAGCATTTGAAAACATCGGAAGGGAGCTGACATCATCGATTACATTCCAGATAATCGAGTCACTCCTCCTCTCTGGTCTCGTTCTATTTTATCTCTCTTCCCTTGGGAACCTTTTTTCATTCTCGAGTTTGTCATCGTCTAGTCTCCCGCCTGAGACAAGACGTATAGATATTAACGGGACCCTCTCATCTACATTTTGCTTTTGCTATTTTAGTTCCACCGCAAATTAGGAGTTGCTCCATCTGATCCCTTGTTTAACAGAATGCCGTCAAGCCATTCCGCCTGACAGTTATACATTTCTTCTTGTCCGATTCCAATTCTCGAAGTTTTTACTCCATATGTCAAAGCGGACCTACACTCGTGGATCTCTCGTCTTGTATGGTTGGTTTTTCACTGTATGCCCCCTAATATATGCAATTCCTCCTATGATCCAAGAGTGCAGGTTATACGTTTTACCTTCCATGCTGCAGATCAGTTGGAAATATCAGCTAATTTGGCTACACGCCTCCACAGGTATTAATCATATCCTTCGATAGAAACGACAGGAAGAGAAAATTGACCAAGGAAACCGTTAGAACCCTCGAAGATCAATGAATCGACAATTCACAACAACTCCGCCTTAGAAATCCTTGAGAATTGGAGAACATGGAGAAACTTCCGTCAGGTACGAACCCTTCCACGGATCTCGAATGTGGGCCTGGGACCAGCTTCGTCAACAACCGGGAATCGTCGCTTTCCTCTGGCCATGGTGATGATAACGACGACCTCCGAATTGAGCAAATTTCATCTACTGTCTCTCAGACGGAAACTGCTGCTGTCTCGGTCCATAAAGAGGGTATGTTGGAGAAGACACTTTCTCTTGTCCAGACGAAAGGTTCCGGAGTTGATCCCGGTTCCCCGCCTGATGGGGGGTTCACTGCTTGGTTTCAAGCGGGTCTGAGCCATTTAGTCATATGCAATACTTAGGGATACATCAATAGCTTCGGTGTATTCCAATCATACTCTCCAGAAACTTTGAATCGGGCACATTCGGATATTCCCTGGATGGGAAGCGTTCAAAATTTCCTGCTTTTCTTTATCGGGACATTTTCCGGGCGTGCAACTGACGCTGGCTATTTTAAAGCTGTATGGACAGCTGATGCATTAATTCTCACCACAGGAATCTTCATGACGTCGCTGACAAAGACATATTGGCAACTGCTCCTTTCCCAGGGGTTGTGCATGGGTATCGGCTGAGGATTGATGTTCTGCTCTACAGTTGCCTTGATTTCCACGTATTTCTCCTCGAAACGAGCAATTGTTCTTGCAATTGGTGTCACCGGCTCTGCGACTGGAGGACTTGTTTCCCCAGGGATCATACGGACGTTGCTCCCCCGCATCGGCTATGCTTGGGCGGTGCGAGTTTTTGGTTTTCTCACTCTAGCATTCCTTCGACAACGAGTCCTACATCGCAAGGGCGGACCATTCATCGAGTGGGCTGCCTTCAAGGAGATCCAGTTTTCTCTATTTGCAGTTGCCATGTTCCTCAATTTCTGGGGCATTTATATTGCCTTCTTCTATATCAGTAGCTATGGTCGCAATGTGATCGGTCTCTCAAAAGAGAAGTCAATTGACCTCCTACTGATCGTGAACGGTGTCGGCATCGCTGGTCGACTTTTGCCCAATTTTATATCCGAGTACTTACGGGTCCGTTCAATGCCCTTATCCCAAGTACCCTAATCGCAAGCATCCTATCATTCCGCTGAATAGGTATCAGCGATATATCGTCGTTGTATGCATTAGCCATTCTAAATGGATATTTCGCATCAGGGCTTCAATCGTTGTTTCTAGCAACCTTGTCTTCCATGTCGCCGGATTTGAAGAAAACGGGCATCCGCTTTGGAATGATTCTAAGCATTGCTAGCTTTGCGTCATTTACAGGACCGCCAATATCAGGAGCTTTGATTCATCTAAAAAACGGTAAATATTTGTACGCCCAGATTTTCAGCGGCACATCAATGGCTATGGTAGCCATGGTATTAATTTGTGCGAGGATCTCGGTGACAGGCCTGGTAATGAAGGTAAAGATCTAAAGCGTTCTGCATTCTTTGCTTGATAACCAGGCCATTTCAGATTCTGTTCACGTGAGATTTTCCTTTTGATAGATTATACATAAGAGTTCATCGTTATTTCCTGACATTGTTGCATGACGGCGTTGATGGATTCGTTTTTATGCAGATATATTTCCTTTACTTTCTCTCGCACGATCCTGGTTTATAAGGACGGCCAGAAACCTAATCATAAGAAAACCGAAGAAGCGTAAGTTTACTTCCTAGTTATTAAAACGTCCACATTAACGTAGAGAAAAAGGGAGCAGACAATGACAAAAAACATATAGGAAAGATTGGTGGGAGAAGTTTATAATATTAATACAAAGACAAGTACTTATATGTGAAAAGGTAGTGAGATATCAAGTTTACTTCATCATCAATTTCACGATGATCCGTAGTTTCGGATTTCAGGATATATGATCTCACGGTAGGGTGGTAGCCCCATTGATCACCTCTAATGTACAGATTAAATGAGAAACATTCAGAAAAGCTTTTGTAGTCCGTATAGTTATGTGAAAGTCTTTTACCAGTCATGGTTTCACCTTTGATATGAATATCACCCGTTGAGCAAACATGCATTAACTAATAATAGGACATTTAATGGACTGCGACTTCAGAAGATGCTAGCAGAAGATGCTAGTAAGGTAGAAGTGTGTGTGTGTGTGTGTTTTTATTTAACGCCCGGTTAGTCCACGTGCCTTAAGGGCACGTGATCTAGTAGAGTCCGCGTCGAACTATAGGGCGGGTAGAGCTACGCCCGTAGGCGACTACCTATCTAGTAGCTATCTTACAAATGAGGCAAAAATGGGTTGCGTATTGCTGCACCGGCAGAGCCCATGGGTCGGTTGCCATAGAGCAGAGGTTTTGAGAGGTTTTAGGTTTGTGGGAGGGAGGTAGGGGAGGCGGATAGGAAGGAAGGCAAGGAAGGAAAGAAAGGAGAGGAAAGAGAGGAAGGAGGAGGAGGTGGTGAGGAAGATGGGGGCAAGACAGAGGAGAGAATGGTCTGTGGGATCTGTGGGAGGTGCGCGACGGCGCATTGGACAGATATTCTGATAGAAGGCTGTTTCTCTTAGCCAGTTATTGAATTCTAGGGCCCCACGGCGAGGTTGCCAGTGTC